ATTGCACGCTGATTATAACAGGTCCATTACAGCGGTTGACGGCACCTGTGGAATGGAAATACTACCATTCGCTGTCAGCTGCCTGTCCCAGACAACCAGCAGCCTCGTGTGATGCCCATGGCACGAGCACCACGTTGTCCTCTGTTAGCCATGTGATGGAGCCGTCATGTTCGCAGATGCAGATCATCGCCCATCAAGCACCAACCAGTTCATCTCTGCAATCAAACCGGCGCCTGCTAAGAGCATCCCGCACGCTATTGGGTCCCAGCGCCCCAGCCCCTGCTTTTAAGGCGTATTAGGCGTATCGGCCCCAGAAACCCCGCTGGAGAGTCGTACCGGAGCCGCGATGTGACCTCTGCCCCTTACATCTCGAGACTCAGTCGCCAGTCACAGCAGCCTCCATCCGCGACTTGGCCAGAAGCACGGGATTGTCACGCGGCCGCAGCCTGGTGACGATTGAGGGCAGAAGAAGCCGTTCTAGCCCTTTGATTGCTGTCTCAGAGGCGCGTGCCAAAGGAGGGGAAAAGGGACTGAGCCAGAGACACAAAGAGAGAGTGAAATACCTGGACAAGAGAGGAGAACGAGAGAGAGAGCTGGAAAGAAGAGGTGCGGCGAAAAGAAAAAGCCAAGAGACAAGGGGTCTGATCCAGCAGATAACTCGGTTACCGTCAAAGTGGAGGTTTTTTCTCCCGAATTAAACAGCCTAGATTCCAGACGGCAGATGTCTGTAGAACGTGAGGGAGAGCGGCATAGGACAAGAAAGGATAAAGCCAACTAAAGAGACGATGGAGATGCGCCTCGGCTCTGCATGGGACTGTAAGAAAAAGAACCCGTTTCCCCCTTCTATTCTTTCCCCCTTCTTTCAGCCTGTTGTATCCCTTTTGGCGGCCATTGCAGCTTTGAGAGATAAGGGAACAAGGGCAGATCCAAGATGATATCAGACATCAAGTTGACTCTTGCTTTAGCTGTAGCACAGATACCGCTTAGCGGTGCTGCCACCGCAACTCGTGAGTGAGCCTTTCCCATCAGCATTGCCTTGCATTGTCGCAGCCTTGCCTGCTGAGATTCGCAATGGTGATTCACTGCTTTATACAACACTTGCTGATTGTGACAACACAGTCCGGCCATGGAAATTTGCTCCGCTGCCCCTCGGCTCGGTCAAGCCTGGAGGATGGATGCTCGGCGAGATGACGGCCATGGCGAATGGCCTCGCGGGCCATGAGCACGACTTTTACGTCTACGTCAGCGAGTCTAGCTGGCTGAATACGCCTGGCAGCGGCGGCACCGAGTACAGCTCTCTCAACGAGGGCCTGCCGTATTGGTTCAACGGCCTTGTCCCGCTGGCATATCAGCTTGACGATGACAGGCTCAAGGCACAGGTCCAGGACGTTGCCAACACCGTGTTGGGCTTCCAGGCCACAGACGGCTGGATCGGGCCAGAGGTTGGCAGCGCGAGAAACTTTTGGGCGCGGACGCCCTTTTTTCTCGGGCTGACGCAGCTTGTGGAGGCGGACAGCTCGTGGGAGAATCGGGTTGTCACGGCGCTTCGCCGCTTCATGACGCTGACGAACAAGATGCTGCACAACAACAGCCAGGGCTTCACCAACTGCGCCAGCGGCGTGGACTGCACGTGGGGACAGGCGCGCGTGCATGACCTGATCATCACCATCCAGTGGCTGCTGGAGAAGTATCCCTCTGATCAGGACTCCCTGCTGTGGGACAACATGAATCTGTTTTACGCGCAGACCAACTACAAGTGGGCGGATTGGTACACCGAGGGCGTGTTTGAGGAGGAAGTGGACCCTACGAATTCCTCCAACTTTGTTTGGATTCACGGTGTGAATGTTGGCCAAGGTATGTTTCTGTTTCACTGTCGAGGTAAAGATGACTTACTCATGGCGGTATAATAGGCCTCAAGGCATCCTCGGTGATATACAGAATGACTGGAGACGACGAGATGGTCACCAAGAGCCAGAACGCCGTGGACTGGAGCTTCCAGTACCATGGCTCGGCCTCTGGCTCCATCCTCGCCGACGAGAGAGAGCGTGACCTGTCGTCGTACATTGGCAGCGAGCTTTGCACGGCCGTAGAGACGGCCTACTCGTTGGCCTATATGTACCAGGTCCTCGGCGACAATAGCTATGCTGATCGTGCCGAGAGAACCATCTTCAACGCCTTTCCCGTCATGCTCACGGGCGACAAATGGGCGCACCAGTACATGGACAGCCCGAACCAGCCGTTTGCCATCAGCACGATCCAGCCCGACGGCAGCGTGCCGCAGGTGTTTACGACGGCAAACAGCGGCGTGGCCACGACGTTCGGCATGGAGCCGCTGTATCCCTGCTGCACCGTGAACCATCCCCAGGGCTATCCCAAGTTTGTGGCCAATAGCTGGGTGCTGTACAACGGCGGCTTGGCACACGCCTTGCTGAGTCCATCCACGGTGAAGACTGTTGTTAACGGAGGCTCCGTCACGGTGGAGTGTGACACCAACTACCCCTTCAGCAACGTCCTCACCTACTCTGTCAACGCTGACAAGCCCTTCACGCTGTACCTGCGCATGCCAGAGTGGGCGGAAAGCCAAATGTCCACTCTGACCCAGTCCGGCGCCTCATCGTCTCGCCTCACCGTCGACGCCGACGAGACCACCGGCATGACCAAGATCAACCTCAACGCCGGCAAGACCACAATCACGTATGTCATCATCGCGGGCGTGAGAACTGAAGAAAGACCCAACAACAGCGTGGCCGTCTTCTTCGGCAACTTGCTCTACGCGCTGGACGTTGGCTACGCCGAGAACTCGACCCTGCCGCACGCCTACTACGATCCCAACGGCCCGGGCATCTCCGGCCTGCCCTTCTCCCAGCTGCGCGACTGGTACATTGAGAGCACCAAGCCGTGGAACGTGGCCATTGATCCGTCGACGATTGCCTACCACGGCGTCAGCAGCAGCGCAACCCTGCCGGACCCGATCTTCGAGATGGGCGCGCCGCCAAACTACATGACCGTCTCTGGCTGCCAGATCAACTGGCCGCTGTATATGGGCGTCACGCCGGATGTGCCGCCGCTGGAGAGGACGTGCGTGGGGCCGAAGAAGACGTTTAGGCTGGTGCCGTATGGGGGGGCCAAGGTGCACATGTCGGATTTGCCAGTCGTGGAGTTTTGAGGATTTTGAGCGGGATGGTATGAAGTATGAGCATATATGAGCTTGATGTCTTTTTTTTGTTTATTTAGTTGATGGTTTTGTACATATGGGATGGGGATGGTATTGCTGAAAGATGCATAGATATATATGTATACAGAGCGTCTTTAGAAGGAGAGAGAGAGAGTATGTGATTCGTTCTCACATGGTTCTCTGTTTTTCTTGCATTCCGGTCGGCTTTTCTCCGTGTAGTCGTCAGGATATGCTTACTTCGCTATACCCCATCAATGCCTGTTCAGGATTGTGGTGAAATCAGCCAATAGCTTGCACCTTTCCTATCCCTTTTTCCTTCATACAATAGGCATTCATTCAATGTTATGGATCACAACTCTTCAGGACTCTATCTTTCCGGTCTGTATCAGAGAGTTGATCTATATTTCGGAAGAGAGACATACACATATACGGTGTTACCGAGCTATGTCCATGATAAGTTCAAAGTGCAGTCTAGCCCGTATCAGTTGGGTCTCTCGGCTGGAAGGCAAATGCTACGCGTATCCAGATTTGACCAGAGCTACCATAGAACTGGGGCACTACTGTAGCTTTGAGCTCCGGTTGCTGGCATGCTCGGATGAGAGTGCCATGCAGTGGGCTCAGAAAGGGGATTTTACATGATGCCGTGCCTCGGCGCAAGTGAACAAGTGTTAATGTGGATTCAATTCAAATTATAGGTGACACTCGGCAGTGAATGGGTTTATGCTTCTAGTTGTCCTTGTCGGGAGATGACGCAAAACTTGTTATACACCCACCACCCGAAGCTGTAGCGAATCCACCAAGATCAAACAAAACCCCATATAGGCTAGCGATCCATTTTAAAATAGGAGAATTCAAGCCGAGCCGCTATACCGCCTAGCGGAGAATTGAGAGCTACACCGATAGCTTCATACGGTAGCTAAGCGTTTGAGATAGATGTAGATGGAATCGCGTACTAGATGCTCAGATGCACCCAAAGATCACTATTGCGCCAAGACGAAATAAGTTTCTTTACGATGGCCTCTAAATAGGTTTGATAGCATATGACATGGCGTAACGTCAGCTGAGCTTTTTTATTAAGATATTGCTGTTGGAAATTCATGTTAAATTTTTTTCATAATGCACATCTATTTCCTATTTCTTGTATATAATGAGTCGCGTCAGATCCGTTGCGAAGTCTCATGCAAGCGGAAGCGTGTCCGCCCGATGAAGCTCGCCTTTCTTCGGATCATCCGGCTCGCGCAAGGCTTGTTCCGAGACTACATCAAAGAAATGAACTCTTCTCAACCATTGCGACACCTCTTCCTGCATCGTCACTTTGCCGAATATTTTGTGATATCATCTACATGAATATGCCGGAGAGCAAAACGGCTCAGCCAGAGTGCCGGGACGCTAATACAAACCTCGGCAGCAGCTTATTAGCCAATAAAAGTCCAGAATTCGCACAGCTACGTCAATAGAAGCCGCCATAGAAGCTTCCGCGAAAGATCCACATAGCGAGGCTCGGAAACGGATTCTCCGTTGCGCATTTCCTAATTTGTATGAGGGACGTACTTTGAGAGCCTCGAGCACTCCCGATTCGTCTGCGAGCGTGATGCTGTAATCGTCATCCAGTAGTGTTTTCCGAATTGGAACAGTAGCCTTACTGATGTTGCATCCAGCTCCTATGATAAGGATTTGTAGAGAGGGATTAACGAAATAGGGCTCAGCTGCTTATAAGCCCGAGTGCCTCCTGTGTTATTCTCCAAATTCACCACACGCTTCTATACATCAACTGCAATACTTGCATCATATCCAGCAATCCAAATAATTATCCAACTATACAACAATGGCCATCACGTGGCAGCCTCCCTTGAATTACAGGAGCAGACCTGTTGCGGTGTTGGGTGCTGGCGTTCTGGGTCGTAGAATAGGTATGTGATATCACCCATCTTGAAACCAAAGGCTAATAGCTTTTCGTAGCTTGTATCTGGGCATCAGCAGGATACAATGTGCGAATACGAGACCCGAGTGCACAGCAGCGAAGCGACGGCATTGCCTATGTTGAAGAAAATGTAGCGGCATACGCCCAGAAGACCGGAAAGGCTCCAGGCAAAGCACAGGCGTTCGAAAACATACAAGAAGCTGTTGAGAATGCTTGGCTTGTTATAGAAGCTGTTCCGGAAAAGATTCAGCTAAAGATTGATACTTTTGCTGAACTGGACGCCCTTACCCCGGCCGACTGCATTCTGGCCTCGAATTCATCCTCATACAAATCGTCCGAAATGATTGAGAAAGTGTCTGCTGCTAGAAAAACTCAGATCTTGAACATGCACTACTATATGCCTCCAATGTGCATGGTTGTGGAACTCATGACGGACGGTTTCACGGCGGGAGATATCTTCCCATTCATGGTTGAGCGATCAAAGGAAGCCGCGACATTGCCGTATGTTGCGAGAAAGCAGTCGACAGGCTTCATCTTTAACCGCCTCTGGGCCGCTATCAAGCGCGAGTCTTTGACGATTCTAGCTGAAGGGGTTTCCGTTCCAGAGGAAATTGATTCTCTATGGACAGAAATGTTTATAAAAGGCGGCGCACCACCTTGCAAGTTGATGGACGGTAAGTATTGTATTACGCAACCGGATAATGATTTCCAGCTAACGAAGGATATTAGATGTCGGACTTGATACGGTGGCCTTTATCGAAAGCCATTACATTGCAGAGCGCGGACTCTCTTCCGAGAAGACTGTCGACTTTTTGCAAGCTCAATACCTGGACCAGGGTAAACTGGGAGCTAAGAGCGAGAAAGGCGGCTTCTATCCTTCCTCAGAGGTCAAGTCTACCACGACTAATGGCGACTTGAGCGAGCCCAAAATCGTTGTCTTGGATGTTGGCTTGGCTGCTGATGTGCCCAACCTACGCTCAGGAGGCCAAATTCTCCAACTAGGCCTGGACGGAAAGGTTCAAAAAGTGCTGGTCAGCGGCACGTCAATGCCTGATGGCCTAGATATAGATCACGAAAGCGGCCGTATGTTCTGGACCTGTATGGGTGTTCCGGGAAACAATGATGACGGCGCCATCTACTCAGCGAACGTTGATGGCACCGATGTCCGCACCGTCCTTTCTCCCGGTTCTGTCAACACCCCCAAGCAGCTGGCCGTTGACCGTGAGTCGAAGAAGCTTTACTTTTCTGATCGTGAGGGCCTCTCGGTATTCCGATGCAACTTTGACGGCTCCGACCTGGAACTGTTGATCAAGACTGGGGACGCTGAGAACCCGGAGGACAAGGAAGACCAGACCAAGTGGTGCGTTGGCATCGCTGTGGTCCCCAAGCTGGGCAAATTCTACTGGACCCAAAAGGGCCCCTCCAAGAGCAACAAAGGTCGCATTTTCTCCGCCAATATTGCAACTCCCGCAGGCCAATCTGCCCAATCAAGAGATGACGTTGTTTGCCTCTTGAGCGCTCTTCCTGAGCCAATTGACTTAGAGGTGGACGAAGAGACGAATATCCTCTATTGGACTGACCGTGGCGAAATGCCTTTCGGAAATACGTTGAACAAGGCTCAGTTGGACGGAGCTGGACTTTTGGCGAAGTCTGCCTCTCCCAGGGGATATGAGATTCTCATAAAACATCTCAAGGAAGCGATTGGCCTCAAGCTGGACACCAAGAACGGTCACATTTATGTGGCTGATCTGGGTGGCTACATTTACCAGTGCGATCTTGATGGGCAGAATAAGAGGGTTATTCACTCAGACGACTACCGGGCTTTTACTGGCATTAACCTCTTGTAAGCGGTGGATGGAGGTCTCTGTTACGTGTAAGCATGTAGAAAGAGGACTTTATGCATTCAGAATTGTATAAAACCTAGATTTCATTGTTATTGACAATTAAGTTACTGCTATTGAAGCGTTGATTTTGTTTTCTCTTCTGTGCTTGTTGTTTTGCGTTGCTGGGTAGGAGGACTGAGTAATACATGTAAGGGAGCGATATTACTGCTAAACCGCATGCGTAGAGCGAGACATGCAGCCAAAAGCAATATCTGTCTGGTGCTATATTACGGGCACTGCAAGGGTGCTTACTGATAGCACGTTTCCAGCCCCCATTTCTCCGACGCGTTATCTATGCACATATGTGCCGTTCATCTCTCGGACGTTGATTGAAACTCTTCACCGCCATCTATTACCATCTGTGATATCATGGACAGAAACTCCTTGAATCAAAGCGTGGGAGCTGCAAGTGGCATGCAAAGTGCATCCGTTGAGATGGATGAACTACTCTCAGCTCGATCCCACGTCAGCACGCTCTCTCCACAGCGCAAACTCGCGCCATGTCACTCTAATGCGCCTTCTCCACAGCTGACGGAGCTCCCTATCGAGCTTCTAGCAGACATCACGAATCGGCTTGAGAACAGCGATATCAAGAATCTTCGTCTGGCGTGCAAGCTTCTCGCCCGAACATCAGCGCTGCGCATCAGCCGCGTCTTCTTGTCTGCAAATCCCCTCAACGTCAAAGTCTTCCGCGCCATTGCCGACCACGAGGTGTTTCGCCATGGCGTCATCGAAGTCATCTATGATGATGCTCGGCTTCCACGGTCTGCGTATGAGGAGGCAGCGGCACGAAGGCCGGACCTGCTGCGTTATAGCGAAGCTCGGCAGATAGGTGTGCAGACTGATGAAAACTGGTTCAATAATGAGCGGCAGCAAAATATTCGAGAGATTGACCGTCACGAGTTCCATACTGCTGGACAGTGGGATAGTCCTGCTAGGATACAGCAGGCGGCTGCTGAGATGTCAATGCAGGCGTCGTGGACATATTATCAAGATCTAGTCCGCCAGCAGGATGAAGTGATTGCAGACAACTCTGATTTAGAGGCTTTGCGATATGGGCTGCGGCGGTTCTTATCATTACAAACCGTGATTATTACACCTGCTGCTCACGGCTTGCTGTTTAGTCCGCTGTACAAGACGCCAATGATTCGAGCGTTTCCTCTCAGCTTCAATTATCCTATTCCACGGGGCTGGCCTGCACGCCACGAGGGACAATCTTCTTTTGCAGCCGCTGCGTGGGTTAACGAAGAAGATGCCGTTTGGGCTGACAAGGTTAGAGCTCAATGGCGAGGCTGTCTGATTGTCACCCGTGCTCTCGCAGAAGAGCGGCGACATCACCATGTGTCCGAGTTTCTCATTGACTCGAAGCAACTTCTTACTGGGCTTAACTGCCGCCTCTTTGAACAACAGTGCGAGGCGTACGATGATATAGTATCGATACTTGAGCATCCTGGCCTTCGGCGCTTTGAGCTTTCACTTCACATTGACGGACAGCAGCGACTGAGCTGGCCAGCTTTTCGCAGCGGTCTTTTGCGCCATGCTCTAGCGAAGGCTAAAGAGTTGGAACATTTCTCCTTGGCCGCAGACACAGATCCGGATATTGTCGATGAGGGAGAGCCGTCTCCATCACTGGAGACGTTTCTTCCCGTCGACCACTGGCCTCGGCTTCAGCATCTCAGGCTGTGGAATCTGTCTGTGAAAAAAGGCGAAGTGATCTCACTCTTAGCTAAAATCCCACCGACGCTATCCACACTTGAACTCGGCCATTTCATATTCTCGGATAATGGGGATTATTGCAGCCTGCTTCATGATATGCGCCTCATTCTCCGCTGGCATGAACGGGGGATTAGACCCCGAGTCAAGATTGCCTTGCCTCGCAAGCCATTTTATAGAGATGGACAGTCTATTTGGCTCGAGAGGGAGGTTAATGAGTTTCTATATGGAAATGGTGCTAATCCGTTTGATGCGAGGCTGGGCTTAAATCGGGTACGGCAAGGCGTGGGAGTTCTTCGCGATGTGTTTATCGCAGATTATGAGAAGCCTTGGTGAATGCGTTCTCTTTTATTAGTCACACCGTATAGCATACCTAGATCTTACTCTTGGATAATGGTATTTCTGGCTGGGAAATGCGAAGCTGCTATATATTTGGAGAGCAAGCGAACATGTGGAATTTTGGTATTTCTTCAGGAAAATGTCTATTGTATCTACCTATATGTGTTGAAGGAAATAAGAGTCTATAATAGCAAGAGCATTAAACATGCATTCACATATACTTTTAGAAGAGGAATATCTGATCTGTAATCTTTGCAACAGCTCCCGGCGCTTCAAAGCCCATCGCCACCAACGCTTTCTGGGAAGCATTCACCATGCCAGGAGGCCCGCACAGCATGACCTTGGTGTCAGGAGATGCTTTGGGTAGCTTAGAAGACATGACAGTTTGTGTGACGAATCCTTTGCCGTAGGGCCACTTCTGTGGAGGCTGGTCTAGCATGTACCAGATCTTGAGGTTCTTTGGATAGTTCTTGGCAAAGGTGTCCAGCTCTTTTCGAAGAAGAATATCATCTTCAGTGCGGTTGGCGTAGATCAAGCTAATCTCGGTTGTATCTGTATCGTCTTCACAGATTGCGCGGATGAGCTGATACATGGGCGTGATTCCAGTTCCTCCAGCAATCATTCCTATCTTCTTGCACAGGCCCTTTCTGTATCTCATTGGGCCCTTTGGGCCGCGGAAGAGGACTTTGTCGCCAACTTTGAGGTTTGCAAGGTATTTTCCGGTAAGCTGGCCATCTGGGTAGCACTTGATGACCAACTCCAATTTGCCTAGGTCGGTGTTATTTGAAACTGGAGTATATGACCTCGAGACATCTGCTCCATCAATGGCCGCTTTAATAGCAACGTGCTGGCCGATAGGAATGCCAATGACATCGCTTGGTTTTGGAAGTTGGAAGACAAAAAGAAAGACGTTTGGAGATAGTACGTCTTTTCTAATAAGAGGAAGGTCTTTGTATGACTTGGGCTCCAACCAGCCTCTGGCCAGGTTTGGGTTGGGCTTTATCCTGTTCTTGCTCTTGATGTGCGGGGGATACTTGGTGAAGCCCGACTCAATCTCAGTGAACTTGGACAATTGAGACCCAATAACACCTCCAACAGTGGCGCAAAAGAGGGAAGCGGCAATGAATCCGTTTGCAAATCCTCCTTGCGGCAGATGAACGGCCTGCAGCCAGTGTGATGATAGCTGAGGGAGATGAGAAAGGTTGGTCAATGCAGCAGGAATATTGAGGCGTTTATCCGAGGTAAGCAGAGAAAGACCAAGACCGCCTGCTAGAGGAATAGCTGCCATTGTAAGTATGCCGATGGCGGAGGATGAACTTTTGGTAGATTTTGTTTCCTCGACAGGCTTCTGGACCAGCCGAACAGTTTTGGCAGGTTTGCCGGTTTGGACATAACCCTGAATAGTACCAATCTGCAAGGTTTCCAAGACCTCATCTGCATCTTCTGAATGTCCGGCCTCATTATATGCAGCAGTTGCATCTGTGCCGGCGACTTCAATCAGGACGTCAACTCCGCCGGGATGATCCGGCACATATTTCGAGACATCATAGACTAATAGTGGCCTTGTTAGAGATATGCAAAGAACGGACGGCGTGTTGATTAAAGATTTATTACCTTTTCCGTGGATCACAATCCACAGATCTTCTCTTTTACTATGCGCAGCAACATCTGCCAATGTGTACTCCTGCATGTTTATGAGGCGGTATAAGTTTGATCTTGTGATGTAGAAAGGCGGGCAGGACTTCCAGTTGGTCTTACACCAGAAATTGACCAAAGGCAATTGAAGAGGCAAAGGTAGAGAATGGAAAAGTTCAAAGGATACAATGTCGAGTTATTATATCAAGAGGTAAAGAGCTTTTCCTATGGATCTTACGAAAGCCCCCTTACTTAAAGATTAATCTTTCAAATATATGCGGAAACGCCCGAGTACTGACTGCATCAATCATTATCATGCAGGTTTGTCCAATTACCTAAAATGGGTAGCTGTCCGGAAATGGCTAGTTGCCGCGGCAATGTTAGTCAGGGGTCTCTTCCCGAAGCTGATAGCTATAAGCTGGGCTTACCGAACCAATGAAATGGCGTCGGAGAAACCGATCCCTCGGAAAGCTGTATGATGGCAATGCCGAGAGTGGGATGCAACTCTGAGCTGCGGGTATATCGTCATTTACAGATATGAAAATATTGCGATGGGGCACGTATACATGATGCTGGAGTTTCAGAGTATTCTATGGAGAGTTTTAGTTATAAGGATGGAGGTCCGCGCAAATTGAAGTCAATAGAAACAGGCACACATCTCCAAAAGTGAACTGTATACATTCGAACAACATGGCGATACAACAGTTTTATCTCCTCGGAGAGTCAGAAACAGCTACAACAGCTATTGACATCGAATCAAACTTGGACTTTGATGGACTCAAACACTTGGTTGCATCCTATTTTGCCGTTGTTGAGCCTAACGGTGAGTGCAACTTGGAGGCTTTTCAACTTTTAAATCGGTGCCACATAGGCAGCTGCTAATAATGAGGCAGGAGTTGGGTTTCAATTTCAGGAACATGCACTTCAAGAAGTTTCAGACATCTCTTCTGCTGCGGGCCCAGTAGCTGTTTCTATTGACGGGAAGGCTGTCCGCGAAGTGCCTGGCCCAAAGGGCTTGCCTTATGTCGGAAACTTCCTTGAGATATATCCTGATCACCTTGGCAACCACCAGCGATTATTTGAGCACTATGGTCCCATTATAAAGACTGTCAATATGGGTCGAACTGTTTACCAAACAAACGACCCAGAAATCGCTACCATTGCTTTTGCCGAGTCTGAGTTCTTTACGAAGAAGCTTACCGAGGATCATCCTCTTTACGCATTGAAAACCCCGGCTGCTGGTGTCTTTTTGGGTGACACCGATACGGAGGAATGGAAGGTCGCTCACAAATTCCTTCCTCCTGCCCTTGGCCCCAAAGCAGTCCGCCACTATGCACCTACGATGCAGAAAACAGTTGAAGACGCTACCAAAGTGTTTGACGAGCTCGACGAGCAGGGTGAAGCGTGGAATGTCTATCAATACATGATAAAGCTTGGTTCACAAGCTGTCGGCAAACTCACTCTGGGCATTGACTTTGAACATTTTGCCTCGCCTGATACACCTCTGCACGAGATGATCCTTTTGATCGCTGAGGTACTGACCTTGAATAAGAAAGTTTCGTCCAAAGGCAGCTGGTATAGCAACCTCCCTTTCGGCGATCCGAAGCGTCTAAAAGATGTAAAGCATCGCATTGAGGAAATGATTGAAGAGTCTATTCAAGCAGCTGCCCGTGGAGGCGTGGAGGATCTGCCACTTCAAGACGCCGCTCTGAAGGCATCAAACATGGTTGGTAAGTAACACACCATGGCCCTCTGTAATAACGTCGCGCTAATGAAAGAAATTATCTAGACTATGCAGTTCGTGCTACCGACAACAAAGGCGAAAAACTGCCAAAGTCTAGTATTGTCTGGGCTCTCATTGTTGCCACTGGCGCTGGTTTCACAACCACCAGTTCACTGCTCTCTTGGCTCATCTATGGGCTGGTTACCTACCCAGGAATGCAAGAGAGACTTCTCCAGGAGTTGGTTGACAACGACTTTGACGAGGACTCGCTGCTCACTTCTGACTACACCGATCGCTTAGTCTTCCAGGACAAGTATATCAAGGAGATGCAGCGCAAACACAACCCATCATACCAACCAGGACGCACAGCAAAGACCGATCTTATTCTCCCAGGTGGTTATAAATTGCCCAAAGACTCTGTCATAATACCTGCTTTGCACCATATTCACAACAATCCCAAGCTATGGAGCGATCCCGCCAGATTTGACCCCGACAGGTGGGACACAGAGGAGGTGAAGAATAGGCCCAAAGGAGCATATATGCCGTTTGCCGCGGGGCCACGAATGTGTATTGGTTTCAACTTTGCACTGCAGGAGATCAAAGTATTCTTGCCCAAGTTGATTTACCGATACAAGTTTACTCAAGAAGGAGACGCAGCCGTGGAATATGATCCGATGTTTCAGCTAATCCGACCGAACAACTTGTATGTTCGTGCAGAAAGGCGTGTCAAGTGGCCGCCGAAATCAAATGCCGCCACTCCTAGCGCCTCTTCATGAACCTAGATACCTGTCATGGACAGTCGAATAGGCTGTGGTATCCTATAAGAAGGAGATGGATATCAAATTTGGACAGTTACCTGCGCATGTTGCTATAACTTCTCTCAAAATATCTTTGTTTTGGCTACACTTTATAGAAGGCTTAGATTGGTGAATCATTAGGCCAAAATAGTTGTTTCACCTTAGATTTACTGTATTTGGTTACAAATATCAATACTTAGACAAACTATATATCAAATATTTTCCTATTATCCTAGTTCTTTATGCCGGATCCGTGTGGCTGTATTCTTTCTTTATATCCGAGAAATTTCGCCAACTGCGGTGGTTTCGGCAATCGTCGCGCAATCAAAGTACGGCGTATGCTAACACGGGAGCTACCACAGCGAATTTAAGCAGCCAGTCTATTTCTACAGTTCTACTAAGCCAATGACTGTGCTAGACGCTTATCTGTCTGGGAGAGCTCTCATGCCTTCCATTCAAGCTCACGGGCTCTGGAGTATTAGTAAGTTATGTGAGTCTGTATTACGATGACACCCAAGGAGGAAGTTCTTCCTTAGATTGTCGGTATTTCTTGGATAATATCTGAGAGTCTAGCGGCCTGCACAAAAGGCAAAGGTCGAAAAATATATGCGCACAACGTAACAGTAATAAAGGCTCTAATGCACGAACCCTAGCGTGGTTTATGGTGTGCGCTATGTTTTTGTGTGTGCCGGTCATTTGATTCAGTTTCGGTTGTTTTACAGACCGCTTTTTTGATACGGAAGTCGAGCTGTGCGTTGAGATTTTCACTAATACTAGACTTGCGGATTGACTGGATGAGAGTTGATCTTCTTAGCTGGGGTCATCTACATACTCTTAGTAGATGTACGCTATGAGTACGATTGTACCTTCGCGTCGCATTGGTCACCATCTATGATCATGGCCTCCGATCAGATCGGCGGGCCCCTAGATGTGGATCAGATTAGCTTTGCCAACGTCACCAATGATCGAGTGTAGCGGATGCGCTATAATAACAGGGAAGCTCTTGAAACTAGATCAGTGCCCTGCCTGTGTTACATTTGATGCTACCCAGCGGCGCTCATTTGCAACAGCGACAAGTGGCGGAGACATTGTTCTTAGCCTACCATGCAAGGTTTGAGACATTCGTATAGAGTGAACCAATTGATAATAATGACGTGAGGTAACCTATCATTTGCAGCTCTTCAAGCTGAATGCACGCAAAGCCCCGGTCCTTGCAGGAGACCCTGGGTTAGAACGCAGTGGTAGATGAACAGCGAATATCTGCTTTCAGCAGGATGCAACTTGTGGCCTCATTGGTTTGAATACATTCACTATTTTGGCGCACGGAGAATGTAGCCTTTCCGCCCATATAAGATCCTAATGAGAAATACAACAGCAACTATTCCTTCGTGGTTGCGCCGCTTGAGCTCTATTGAGACGAGTATATGGCAAGGATTGATTTGACAAGGCACACATGTTAAATACGTTCACATCCAGCGACATAAACTACCTGGGGTTTCTCTAGTTTCGAACATATACATGTAATGCAATCCCTATGGTTGAGCATGAATTATGTCATCTTGATCTCGGTAAGCGAGGTCATCGAAGAGTACTATTGCCAATGTCTCGGTGTACCGTGTACCGTGTGTCGTTGTGCCGTGTGGCATGTCTTGCTGGGCCGAGTCATGTCGTAGCGTTTTCAGCGTCTTACGTTATGGAGAACGGATTGGTGCCCCCTCCGCCTATGATATCTCTTTCGCTGTGCTTGATTGCGTTGACGAAATTGGCTTTTGAGACATCTCAAGGTAAAGCCGGCAAACGGGAGAGAAGATGCAGCTTGCCCTACACGTATCGAACATTTTCTTGGAACTAGCATCCACAGATCGATCACATAGCGATATCATAAGGCCCAATGAAAAAAAAAAAAAAAATACTAGTGGCTGGCTGAACACAAGAGCTAAGTGAAGTTGAACTGAGACACTCTTGACCTGACTAGGTACTGCTTGTAGTATAGTATGACTGGGTTCATTAGTGTGACATGGTAATGTGTAATATCCTTGGTGTAACACGATGTATTCAATTAGATGGCATGGTTTCTTGGCTAGGTAATTTTCTTTACCTAGGTAATAAATTACAAATAGACTTACACAAGGTGTATGGCTCTTCAAAGATGAGAGAAGCATTATACGGCGCGCATCGCATCTTCTCCACTGCCTATCCACAACGTAATGTATTCTGTCTTCACAGCAGGATCGGGTAAGCTTTGGGGTCAGAGATGTCTAACCATAGATGCTGGGCGTCTGCAGAAGGAGTTACTGTAGCTACCGAGTACTGGGAGACGTTGGACCGTGTGACTGGGAAAAACAGGATCCAACTAAGTCTATCCTGGTCTTGCTTTAGTAATATATTGAGCCATGCAACGATGCACAAGGTGGTCTATAAATGGCCATATATGTTCCCGCTCAGTTTACAAGACCCAGAAGTGAAGAGAACTGTTGAAGTTCTGATACGGGAAACGCAAATTGCAAAGCTTCCCCAGTAAAGATGATTGAGAATTACTCCGTATGGCTGCTCTTGTTTGGAGCTTTCGCTTGGTTGCTCCTACGTTTTTCGTAAGTTTTTAGCTGCATAAGTGTGAGAGGGTGACTTCTGGAACGCTGCTAATTGTCGTCTGTGAAGGAATAGAGCGACTGCGACACACAAGGCGCAGAAAGTCGCAGATGGTCGCTTAAATGGCGATGTTGATCCTCTTGATGAGGCACTGGACGCCATGCACAACTTCTCAGCTGCCGCCCGGGCTTCCACAGCTGGGGCTGCTACTCTAAGGACAGTCTTTCGGATCAACAACCCTTTCTCAAACGGCTCGGAGGACTTGCGCAAGGCTTACCGACAAGCTCTCACCAAGACATTTGCCAAAACGGACGGCGACGCTTGGGATGCCATTGCACGCGCTGTATCTGTCTCCGTCCGGAACATGATTCTGTCTGAAACTGGTCCTGATGGCAGTACCATCTTGAGGGCGAACATTATGGAGATTAGCCGTACCGCAAGCATGGTGGCCGTGCTCAGAGCACTTTTCAACATTGACAATGTCCCAGGACCTACGCTTGCATACATCTGTTCCGAGATTCACCGACTCGGTGTTTGGAAAAAGAATATGGACATGGCCTCATCTAATCCATGCGCGGTTCCCCAGGTCTTTGTGCAGAATATGAACCGCCTGGTAAGCTGTCTTCGTGACGTCTTCTCAGAGGCCAAGGAGAAAAACGATCTAGCACGGCTGCTACTCTGCTCCGTATCTGGAACTCCTGAGGCTTTCAACCCCCTCGACCTGATTATTCCTGCCTTTGAGGCGCCCTGGCGAGCAGTTCTCTATTCACTGCTAGCTGTACTGCAAGACCGTCCATCAGCGGTCGACGAGCTGCTGTCTCTCCGCGACTGCCCAGCCCGTCAGCGGCCCTCACCGCAGGCCAAGGCGGTTGTCTATGAGTCTTTGCGCCTCTATCCGCCTGTTCGAAGGATGCGGGTGAGCCAAAAGGCCAAGGCCCTGCAAGTATTCAGCACTGGCGGTATCTCTGATGTTGACCGAACTATCGACGCCGAAGCCATCCTTCGAGATCCAAAGTACTGGGGCCCCACAGCGGCTGAATGGAAGCCAACACGATTCCTACGTACAGATGGAGAAATTGATAGCTCGATACTCAGCCCAAACATGGCTTGGATACCGTTTGCCGCTGGAGGAATGAAGTGCCCGTCAGCAGGGGGGTTCTCTATTCGTCTGACTGCAGTCGTTGCTGGAGAAGTGCTACGACAGCTGTTCCCGCGCCATGGCCAGATGCAGTGGCATCTAGAAGGTCCGCAGTGGGATTTATCTTCAGCATCAGGTCGCCTCCTTCGACCTGGAAGAGACGAGTATACGCATGTTGATGTGGTTACGCGGAGTGACAGGCTGCAGGCTGCAGGCACCAGACATGTAGGCACTGATTAGCCTTCAACCAGCTTTTTAAGCATAATTTTTGATTCAATTTCTCATGGCAAAAGATAAAAAGCTGTTATATAAGCACAGTCGCTTCAGCCCACGCAAAGAACTGTCCGCTGCTGTCGTGTGAGGCTGCTTGCAAGACTGATATTGGCGAAAGATAGCATATATGTAGCATTGAATGGGATTTTGAGCTTTAAATTTTTTTAGAGGCAATATATCTCAAGGCGATGATTTGACTGCTCGAAATGGCTATACCTGTTCGGCCGTGCCTGGCATTGGCATGCCGTGCGACGAGTTCGAATCGCGCTACTTTTACCAAGTAATAGAGCAGAGTAGTAGTGGATACCATCAGAAATCATGAGTAAGATGAAAATCATGATGGTGCTCGCTTTCAAAAGTCTCACCTACGAGCTCTGATGACAAAAAATCTGACTGTTCTTAATCATAATATGAGACATGGACAGTAATATCTTGAAAATGCGTAACCAGGCTTCAATGTTCTTTTCTGCCCTTGTCTCTGACGTGTGATTTTATTTCGCCATCATGTATCTTAAAGCTGTTTCAACTAATGAGAGCCTTTTTCTGACAATTTGCAACTGTTTTAAAGAGTTTGTTCTGCAAAATTCACTCAAGACCTATAAAAAGATGTTCGCGGATCTCGTCAACACCACTCTTACTGCCACGCCGCTCCAACCATGGCGCCAGGTTAATTCAACGAGCTGGACTCGTCAGTGCTTCTCTGCCGAGGCGTTCTTCTCGCTTTTTGAGATTGTGGCCGATGGAACAGGACAAATGCCTGTATTTGTTACTTTCGACACGAAAATTGCTGGGGCAGAGCTGGTCGAGCGCGTTCGCAACGCCTGGCTCAGCCGCCATGCGTCCATGCCACACGTGGCCGTTGCCATTTCGGAACCGAATCATGCAACAGAGGTATCAAAGGTGTCTTCAATGACATATAGCATGCTTCTCTCTGAAGCTGATGCCCAAGAGTGGCTGCAAGATACGTTCAGCGTGGTGAGAGATCAGAGTGCCGTCGCTTAGTTAAGGTAGATTCAATGGGTTCGACAGCATCGGCTCAACGCCTTCATAGCCGGGCGCTCATCACGGAAACATCTATCAAATACAGCAAGGCAGCCAAGGACAGTAAAACAAGCTGAAGCTGGCAATCTGGCATTTGGATGGACTATACACTGCCCTGCTCTAAACCTAGAGCCACTCACCTGGATAGCAGCATGAAGCGGTTATCGTCCGACAGTTATTCCATCATGTCTAAACCACCAAAGACACGGCAGCAGACATCGTCAAGCATGATAAGTCCAAGCAACATATCTGTTCAAGGTCCAAATCTAGGAAGAGACATTGTAATTGAGGAATTGCTATCTGCTCGAACGTTGATCCAGTCTGCTCAAATCGCGTACCAAGCAGGTTTCCAAGGTTACTCAACTAACCGGCTCGATCTGGATGGTTTTAAGGTGTGGCCTTCACTTCCATGTCTGCAGCATCAACAGCACAGTTAAGATCATCTGTGGATTCGGTCATCTCAAATCGCATGCTCATCTTGGCTGTATAACGGCAGCCTCTGCTATAATTTGCAGAGTACCTAGGCCGATTAACCTAACAAGGGTTACGGGGAGACTTTAAGACGTTTGGTTCAAGGTATACCCGGCGCGCAAAGCGTACGTGATATTGAGGATGACTAGGCGACCCAGGTTTCGGAAGTGCCTGTCAGGACTAATGGATGTAGTGCGACCAACGCATTCATTGCACTTTGAGCACAGGACCTTATAACAGGAGCAAAGAGAATAGAAGGCGTGACGATAGGGCATAGTAGTCGTCCAAACAGTGGCAGACCAGGCAGCGGCGGCATGGACAATGGCAGCGCCAGAACTCAGATATGATGGCCCGCGGGCCATTCACCAGAGATATGTTGAAGCAAGACAAGCTTGGTACAATGCGCAGCCTCGGGGCAGTATCAAACTAACAAACAGTATCGGAAGGCAATAGGTTTGCCTCAACGATACGATAAAGTAAGCTACAAGTGGTGTCTTGATTGGAAACAGATGGGCAAGCAATGTATAATGCTGAAAGGCTACGGAGACTGGAGTAAGGAGGAGATGATGGCGCATCTTGATTGGAGCAAGGCAGAGGAAGATCGGGTTGAGGCTCTGGTAGCGGCTGAGATGGAAGGTAACCCCTTCTCTAAGAGAAGAGGTATGCGTGAGATCTGGAGGCGACCGCAGCGGCTTGTGATGCACAAGAGGCATGTATTCAGGTAAGGAGTCTACTAGGAACTGATTCAAAAATCGCTGGTCGGCAGCCCCGAGTAACTGCAGCTGTGCGAGTGGAAGGGGGGCGCGCAAATGTTAGTCAGCAGGGCGCACAATTCTAAAAGCGCGCTCGGGCGCCTCTGTAGGGCCGCTAAATGCTGCTGGTCCTGTTATTTTGGGCGCCAATCACTCTGGCATGGAGGCCAGATGACACGTCCGTCAGGTTTTCTGCTTTCCAGCGCTCCTATGAACAAGAAGCTAGACCATCACTTTTGATTTAACCCATCGCCATGGAGCCGACTATGCATGTGCTTGATCCAGAAGGCGATACTCTTCTTACTCTTGCCAGTCCGAACCCACCATTTGTAACGAGTTACTCTCTGTGGCGAATTGCTCTGCCACAGTATAATACCTGGGAAACGAGAAACAAGGAGCGGTTATTATGGACCGCCCCAGATGAATCAGTCAAAATATTTACAACGGACCTTACAATAAAAATGCAGCTCTCATCAAAGCATTTAAAGTTAGCGTCTGATTATTTTAGGACGATGATGGCCGGCAACAACTGGAAAGAATCTACACCCAAAGATGGCTTCTCATTTTCTGTGACCGCGAACGGCTGGAATGAAGAAGCGTTGCTTACCGTTATGCGCATACTTCATGGCCGAACAAAAGTAATACCACGCACAATCAGCCTTGAAAAGCTAGCCAAAATAGCTGTCGTTATTGATTACTATAACCTTCACGAGGCTATTGATTTCTCCGCAAAAGAGTGGATTTATAACTTAAAAGAGCCCCCACCTACTTCCTTCGGAAGAACTCTGCTGCTAAGATTCTTGGTATCCTGGGTGTTTTCAGAAGTCTACACTTTCCGACAATTGTCGAAGATCATCATACAAGAGAGCAGGGGTCCGGTTAACGCTCAAAGCTTACCAATCCCAAAGGCTATTATCGGTGCGATCATATAATAGTCTACCGTTAGGAAGCTAACTAACCTTACCTCCAGACGCTCTTGATCAGAAAAGGCAAGAACTTGTATCTGGGGTTATTTCGGGTCTTGAGAGCCTTCAGGGAAAGCTTCGTGAAATACCAGGTGAATGCGTATTTGACTGCTCCGCAATGACACTGGGCGCTCTTATGATAGATATGAAAACAATGGGTCTTGATCCTCTGCCAAAGTCACCATTTCACGGCTATAGTTTCATGACCTTGAAAGAGTGTGTCGAAAACATCCAGGAGCCAAGTTATAACCACATCAATCATAAAACATCTCAGCCCGTTAGGCAGTCAATCGCTAATAGGTATGAATATTCGAAGCCTGAACCTCGCAGCTGCAGTCTCATGGCGAAGATCAATTCAATAATCAATGAACAACTTGGCAAAATAGATGGATTGGATTTAAATAGTTTTATTGATAGAAGCTAAAGCAAGCAGGCAAGCGCGCTATGACTTACACGCCGGCAAGCTAATAAAAATAGCACATTTAAGGGCGGCAAAAAAAAGGCATGAAGATACTGATTATATACCAATTCGGAGGTTAGATATATATTCTAGTTTATAGTAAGCAAGCAGGTAAAATATACAATGGATTTATTAACTTCTTGCTGAGTATCCGTTTGTAATATGTAGTATTTGCAAGTTTGCAAAAGACAGTACGTCCGACTGAGGAGCATGAGGTCGTATTACAGAAGACGTGGGCCATTTTTGATCAGGTATTGGACACCGCGTATGCCGTGGCCGTCAATCGCAGTCCGGGCACGGCCGAGTTGTACGAAGTTGAGTGGAAGGAAATATACGTGACGCCCGAAACGCCGTTCAACGGGAGGATGGAGCCCAAGTCATGGGAAAATACAAAGACAAGTGGCGCACATCGATGCGTGTTTGCCAACGTATGGAGTTATTTAGATGAAGACGAGGTGTCTTTGCCATAGTTCGTAAGAAAATAAGTTTTAGCTATTAGGTTTGGCCTAGGAACATATAAAGAAATAGATAAAAAATAAAGAGTTTTGTACCCCATGGTACATACAGTAGGGTTATTGCATACCTTTTGTACCCCAGGGTATAGGAGCTTTATAGGATTCCGTCTATGCTTATTTTTATACCCTAGGGTACATGAAGGATGAAAGAGGTCTATATTACATACTAAGCCAGCCTTTTTTTTTTTTTTTCAAACAGTAGAGAAAAAAAAAAGAGCCAGGCCAACGCTAGCTGCACAATGACGAGCCAATATCAGATTTTGACCTGAGATTGAATATCCATTCCATATGGCGTCTTAAATTGAGTGCCTCTGTTTCCTCTCTTCTCTATTGTCGTCAATATAGCTCTCCATTACTATATTATAGTCAGGAAATTGATGGGCAATATAGACAATAGTAACACAAATGCCACCATGTGACGATCCATTCCCACGTTTCTTAGGTTATCGTTATAGGGTAGGGAGACTCCCAAGGGATAGGCGCGTGTGTCTATGTTTCTATGTTGGCAGACGGCGGTGAATGTGCACACCAGAGCCCGCGCTATCCGAGACAAACATAGGGACTACATTTGATACCATTATATTAATCACATACAATCATACGGCATGAGACTTAAACCCCGAAGTGGCCATCGGCGGTCACTAGTATTGCAAGTAATCTGAGATGCCCTCAAGTATTAGTAGATGGCTTCCAAATATTAGTAAATGTCTCCAACGGGTGGAGTAACACGAGATAGACTTTGTATTTATGTCTCCGACTTTGCCAAGAGTATTTGCCCCGAGAAACCACCACAATCATAGGTTGTCGTCTGCGTTTATGATGGCCTTCGCTCATGTCTCGGTTCGTGTCAGCATCGTAATACTATGGCCAATCTGGTCGTATGTCTTAGCAGCTGCTAGCCCGCGATACACTGCAGCAAACAGCGACATATAAGTCAATAATCGGCCATTGTTGTGCCTGTGCGTAGCTTCACATATATGTGTTTGAAGATTGAGCTTTGTCAGAATTGGCAAAAAGGTTGGGTGCACAGCTAGCCTACCTATCCAATTGTACAAATACCACGGGTTATTGACTCTATATGATACAGAACGTCCGTAATCTGTCAGATAAAAGTAGATGATAATGTAGAGCAGGCTGTACTTGCCAGTCTTGCCCCCTCTCCCAAAAAGAGGCTTCTGAGCGAATAAGTTTATTTCCCATTCCATTCACTTCATATGTTTATGAGTGAAAAGCTAGATTTATAAGCTTAAATGTGCATATGCTCACATAAATACGTTAGATGTCACAATCGTTTATGGAGCTGTGCAAGACTAGCAAGTATTATGATATAATCCTGGCGGATCGCTGTAATTGTTTAATCATCAAGGCATTAAGGCTTCAGTGAGACTTAGTTTCCATGTCTTCTGGAGCCGGCAAGTGGACTACGTGCTAAATTTAGAAAGCTCTAATCTCCCGACCAGCCGTGTCCATGCACGGCTCGTATATACGTATAATATAGACCGTACGTCGGGAGCTTGCAAAAGAGATTGCGTAGCTCACAGAGCGCTAACCGCTTACAAGTAATCCAGCTTCAGCATTTACATAGAACCAGGGCGTACTGCATTTGGAACAAGTGTCGTAGGTTGTAGCATCTTCCGCGGTCCGAGAATGCTCCCTCTGTGGCATGGATCAATCAGAATACCCACTAGCCATGAGACGATTCGACGTTCATTGCTTCGGCGTTTGACCGGAGATCTTTTGCTTTATATTAGTTGCTGAACGCGTATCAAATCTCACGTTATAGCGCCGGCTTTCTTTCCAATCAGCATTGGAGCTAACTAAACGTGAAGTGGTGTTGCACTTGTTTAGTTGAGATCAGCCACAAAAGCAGCCCCGAAATTATAATATCTCCGGCTTTGTTCAAGAGAGAGCAAACCAGTTAGTATCAGTGATCTCTTATTCTAGTTCTAGAGGGGCTCAGACGAACAGGTCTTGATAATAGCATTGAACTTGCGAAATTGTGTTTTTGAATGATACATTCATCAAAGTTCAACTTTCCTCTTTCTAACAACAAGCTCTCTACTGATTTCCACATTTGTGATTGTATGATATTCGGCCATAAATGTAGAAGCTTCCAGAAGGTATCTTTTATTACGTGGAAGAGAGCGACTAGTGAGCGGGCAGCATTGGGAACTTTGCCATTGCTTACTAGCGTCACGCTTCGCTTAGGCTCTCTAACGTCCAAGGATACCGTTACATACTAGTAGTGAGCCTGCATATTTCGGGCGATAGGAAACTGATGAAACTTATCTCCGTTGATTGTATTTAATGTTATGTGATCTGAATGACCCTATTGAAGAGTTATTATGGAGGCGGTAACGCAGGACACAGATGGGGCATCATATAGAGATAGCGCCTGTAAAGGCAATTTAGTTAACTAGGACTGGTAGTAGAGTATATGATGATACGGAACCCTGACTTAAGATCCTACAAGAAGGAAAATAGAGTACGACGTTGATCAAGTGGCGGCCTATACAAAGCAGCAAAAAGATGGATAGACGTACAACAGTGAGGCATTAACCCAAAGAACGACAGAATATTGACTCATGTTGCATAGCCTAAAGAAAAGAGGTAATTAAAATAGGCTTTATTTGGCGGGCTATGACTCCTAGGAGGCCTCTTATGGCCAGTTGTAAATCCCATAGTTGAGAATACTCCGAAACTTGGGTCCACAAACTCAATTCAGGCACCGCTCCGAGTTATTCGCGTGATACTGCCTGTTGTTAAGTGCCAATATTGAAGCCTCATTATAAGTGTAAACGCTCGAGAGAATCTTGCAGTTTGGTAGTATATGCAGCATATTGGTCAGTGTTAGTCACATCTGACGGATTCTTACAATTGGACTCTTGTCTCCCTGAAGCAGGGCGAAACTTAGTTCTTATTATGGAAGGTATCCATAGAACTTCTCTGTCACAAGCAGAAACCCCTTTTGTCATATTCCAACTCCAAGGCTATAAACAGGCCTGCAACCCGCCAGCTCTAGTTTCCATATCTTTTTGCCTCGGCAGGTTCACATATAAACTGGATATAGAACTCGGTAAATCACGTGACCCCTTTCCGAGAACCTCGGAAACAGAATCCAAGCTATCCGAGTAAAAAGGCCCCGGCGGCCTGTCTTATACGATGTACTCGTACTCACCTTTCTTTGATCTAACTGGCTACATCGCCATGTCAACTCCTCGCCGCCATCGCTCGGCATTTGCTTGCCAAAACTGTCGCCGCCGCAAGGTGCGCTGCAGCGTCTCAGTAACCGGCATCCCGTGTGTCGGCTGCACCCAAGACAGCATCGACTGCATTGTCCATCAGACTCAAGGCCTAAAGTGAGATTCGGCATGTGGAGCCTGCTTTCGGAAAGACACTTGCTGATGTTGGTTCATACGAATCTAGACGACAGCAGCCAAAGGAGTCTTTTGGTCATCATGACTCCTTTCATGGACCTCTTGAGCTTGATCTAGGTCTTCCAGCCGCCGAATCCAGGAGGGCACTGCAGCCACTATCTCCGGCTTCTGTGGACCAAGGGCTCAGCTCGGCCGCAAGTTATGCCTCTCCTAATGATGGGTCCAAAAGAGCTGGAGACGCTCGAAGCTCTCGTTCTGGCACTGAATTGCGCGGCAATCAAGACGAGCAGCGTACCGGAACTGAGATATCTTCCGCGGCATTAGGACAAAATAGTCAGACTGCCGGAGCTCCGTTTTATACAGGTATGTCATTATGCTGCAGTCTTATCAGATGCTTATACTTATGCTTGAAATAGGGGAAGCCCCAGGGTTCACATCTATTCTCGATGTGTGTTCACCGTCACAGCAGCCTGTCGCACGGCATATTCTGATATCTGAAGTGCCCATCTCATTATCGGACGAGGACCGCGAGTATCTCCGGTCTAAGGGGGTCTTTACTCTACCTCAAAAGAGTACATGCAATGAGCTCTTGCGCGCATACTTTCATCATGTACACCCAATCATGCCAGTTGTCGATGCCTCGGTGCTCCTCAAGTTGCATCAGACGGGCAAGGCCAGTGAGTGGAATTTACTCTTGCTATGGAGTATGTTCTTCGTAGCAGCAAATGTAGGTACATGTAATCTGACAATATTCCTTATACAAAGATTATTAACTAAATATGGCTCAAGTTTGTTGACGCCCATGTATGGACCCTTGAGGGCTACTCATCGCGCAATGAGATGAAATTAGCCATGTATTCGCGTGCAAAGGTAGATCACCATCATCTAACACTTGTTGCACTATTTCATTGATGATGGCGCTGATAATATTGGACATTACAGTGCATGTACGACAATGGTGGCGAGACAGATAAAGTAGTCTTACTACAGTCAGCTCTCCTCATGGGATTCTGGCATTCGAACAGGGATGGACACTCACAGCCGTGGTATTGGACCGGCGTTGCCATTAGCCTCGCCCAAATCTTGGGTTTACATCGAGATCCAGACTCGGTCAGGTTCAATACTTCTTTCCCTAGCCATCGGCGCCGTCTTTGGCGTCGTCTCTGGTGGTGTTGTTTCTTCCGAGATCGATCACTAAGCCTCACACTGGGACGACCACTGCGGATCAACCTGAACGACTGCAATATGCCGATGGCTTCAGCGGCCGATGTCATCACTGATATAGGCCAAATACCACAGTCTGTCGCCAAGGCATATATCCCGGATGACTTGCCTCAGCTAGCTGAGTACTGGGTGCTCTTGGTCCAGCTTAATAAGCTGCTAGGGGATGTTCTCACTTTATGCTATCAACCCTTCGGCCCCAGTCCTATGCTTCAACAGATACAATCTCTCGAAGAAGACATATTGCAGTTTTACATTCCAGAGAGACATCGGAAAACGCAAAGTCGTCTCTCATCGTTCTATCTATACCACCTACAACTTAATTACTAGTGAGTCTACATCCCTGTTCTACTACCGCGGTGCTATTGCTTACATATCGCAGCGTCGTTTTAATCACTCTTTATTGCCCTTTCATTGCCAACGCTCCATCAGACTTGCCTCCCGAGAATAGAGAAACCTGGCAAGCTGATATCCGGAGTAAGATGGACTCTGCAGCTCTACGCTCAAACGCGGTCGTCGACAATATAGTGCGGGAAAAGCTTCTCCCGTTTGCCAGTCCTATGACGTGAGTATCTATCTCATTCAATCATTTTCCTCTACAACATCTAACTTCTGGTAGTGCTCCACTATTAGTATCAGCCATGCATGTGCATCTCCTCAACTGTAAATCCGAAGATGCACTATCTCGGCGTCTTAGCCTCAACAAGCTTGAGCTCTGCATGATGGTTATGGAAGAGTTGGAAGAGATGTATACTTCAGCTTCTGTCTATCGAGGCGTTTTCTTAGAAGCAATTCGACAGCTACACCCGAACTATTCGATGAGCGATTCAAACTCGACCGACTTTTCTCAACCGCGCGCGTCTTTTTCGAACGATTCGATGATGGTACCTTTGATCAACGATGACATTCTGACTGCATTATTGGACGAGTCGTCATGCTTTAATTTTTGGGAATCATTTAGCGATATCCAGATGGAACCGATGCAGCCGGGTCTGTGAGAGGCATATGAGCGGGAGTTGTTGTTTTAATCGCAATGTGGTAACGAGATTAAGCGTGATTTGTGCGTACTTATGGGCCGACTTTTTAGAATACATTGATCCAGTCAAATTTTGGATCGTATAGATAAGATATATATCAATTTAATGATAACTTAGACTCGCCATTACACATTTGCTCATATAGACTTGGCTAAGTGCTCCTTGGACGACAAATTCTTGAACCTTCACTAAAGGCCCTTTGAGTAATTATATATCATTGTAAACAAGCTTGCGCTCAGAATGATATATAATTATTCCAGAAATGGTTACTATTTTACTTTGTAGGGTTTTATATGATAATCTTACTGGCAATACACAGGCGCACGGGCCATTGCGGTTTAAATGGGTACCTATCTTCTACAGTCCAAATAAGGACATAGATGGCCCTATAACTTTGCTTGTTTCAGTAGAATTTTTTTTTTGTAAGTGCTTATACAGCCCTTACACAAGCCATCTGTCCATTAATAAATACCAAGATGGTGCTGTTTGCTTGTTTGAAAGGTCTGGAGCTTTCTGTTTCTTGCAGAACACATAGTATAACATAAATATAGCTTCCGACCGACTTTTAATTTACCTAATCCAATCTCAGCCCCGCAACTTTCACTACTCCTCAGTCCGTGCTTGCGCTCCTCTTAAAATCTCACAAAGCTGAAAACCACGTCTGAATCACCTTCAAAAAGCCTATATCCGTCCAAATACAGCCAAAATGAGCGTCATTCACATTGTCTTGTTCAAATACAAATCTTCCGCCACCGCCGAAGCTGTTCAAAATGTGCGTATTCGCAAAGTCATTAGCATCACCACCATTGCTAATCCAAAAATCTTGTTCAACAGGCTGTCTCAGAAATGTTGGCCTTGAAGAGCGGCTGCTTGCATCCCACGACGCAGACGGCTTATATCAAGTCTTTGACGGGCGGCAAAGATAATTCGCCTGAGAATATTCAAGTGTGTGGCAGAATTTACGGTTGCGCGGCATGCATTTTGTAGCTTCAACTGACGTGAGCTTTAGAACGGGTTTACACACGCCTTTGTCGTCGAATTCGCGTCTGTTCAAGACAGAGATTATTACGTTGACAAGGATCCCGTACACGAGGCGTTCAAGACGAACAACGGGCCTGTCATTGAGAAAGTCTGTGTTGTAGACTACACAGTCGGCGTATTCTAGTAATTGAGTTATATTTGGCATTAATCGTCTATATTTCTACGTATTATCGTCTCATTGGAGAGCGTGGTTGCGGATGTAAGAGCCGGTAGATTTTGACACTGGCCAAAACTATCCGGCACTTGTCCATCGGAAATGACGATTGCCTTGTCCAATTCCACATTTGCAGCCAATCCCAACCTATAGTCATCTCTGGCATATGTCTTTCAATATATCCTCCAACCAAACTTAGCCCCCCAGATCAAAATCCTACAATTTGTTCTCTCAATGGTTTATATCTTCGTTCTGTCCATATATCTAGCCAAAATGATCCTTAAAAACTCTTAGAATCTTATCGCGCTCAAACTTGCCTGTATCCAAGCCAAGATCCCAAATCGGGGAAACGCAGGCCTTTCTTCTCCGCAATTTCCCCAACATTGTCATCACTAGGGCAGTCCGTTCCTGGCCGCTCCTCGGAGAAAAGTCCATCATTTCCTAGCTGGAATCATCCACGTTTTGTCTGTTCAAATAGAGGGGAAAACCCGCCGCCATGACTCGTGTGCATCAACCGTAAAAACAACCGAACGTCGAGCAGCCCACCGCATGGCTGTGACCCTCACGTCACTTGAGCGTTGCTCTCTCTAGTTGTGCCGGCAAACTTGTATCCTTGCTTGTGGCGGGCACTAAAACTCCACTGCCGTGGCCATCAATGTGGAGAAGCAAACGCTCGTGCAACTTCCGATTCCTTGACTTGAATCGCCTGAGACTATCCCCCCACATAGGGCACATGTGAGCCCTTTGCAATAAGGGAAAATCAGACTAGTTGTGAAAAGGGCGGGCATCCGTCTTTACGCGTTCTTTCGAGTAAGAGCGTGCACTACAGTTCTGATGCGTAAGACGCTTCTTCGGCGGTATCCCCATGTTAAAGCCACTCATTGGGCGCGATGACGATCGTCCCCCACATAGAACGTTGTTTTGGGCTGGGGCTAAGGCGCTTGTCGGCGCGACGAAATAGCTTCACGGCTAGGCTTTTGGTAGCCTTGCACGAGGGAAAGGAGGGGGAAAATGCGGAGAGCGAGTGCCGGGTCCCAGGGCGACTGTCACCCTGAGTGCGGTCAAACATGGAGAAACCCCGGTATTGTGGAATCAGATCAAGGAAGAAGGCGAGGAGGAGCTGGGGAAGAGAGTCAGGTATAAAGGTCTGCCGATCCACTGCAGTTGGAGGGTTCTGAACGACATGTCTTAAGTGTTTCTTCTTGTGGGATTCTTGACGGGCTTTTCTCCAGCACATTCCGAGAAACGAGACTCACCATGTCGTCAAATCCAGCAGATGGCGCTGCGTTGCAGCCCACAAAGGGCGTGTTTCGCCAACTTCGCGATAATCCCTATGTATTTGGCCTGTCAGCCGTAAGTTGGACATCTCTATCAGAACTATACGCAGTCGGGATAAGGGTAATGGCAATGTCCGCTAACACGCATCATAGTTTGCATCTCTTGGTGGTTTCCTCTTCGGATATGACCAGGGCGTCGTCTCAGGCGTCCTGGGGATGGAGAACTTTGGCGCACTCTTCCCCAGAATCTATCTCGACAGCGGTTTCAAGGGCTGGTTCGTCTCTACGCTGCTCCTAACGGCATGGTTTGGCTCGTTGGCCAATGGACCGATTGCGGACCGCTTTGGCAGAAAGGGCTCGATGCTGGCTGCTGTCGTCGTTTTCCTTCTTGGATCCTCACTGCAGGCTGGCGCAAGCACCATTGGTATGCTGTTTGGTGGTAAGTCTTAGGAGCCCGTTACTTTGCTCACCAAGGATTGTAATTGGTAACAAGTTGAATAGGACGAGCTGTTGCCGGTCTGGCAGTTGGTATGCTCACAATGATTGTCCCCATGTACATGTCCGAGGTCTCTACCGCAGGCATTCGAGGGACCCTCGTGGTACTGCAGCAGTGTAAGTCATAATCTGCAACTTGCCGGTTCACACAAGCATCTAACTGAACATGAAACCACATAGTGAGCATTACTCTCGGTATCCTCGTCAGCTATTGGCTCGAATACGGCACCCAGTACATCGGCGGCACTCGCTGCGCCCCCGATATCCCTTACACAGGAGGCACGTCTGATAAGCCGACTTTCGATCCCGCACACGACGTCGGCCCCAATGGCTGCACCGGCCAAAGCCAAGCCGCCTGGAGAATCCCATTTGCCCTGCAGATTGTGCCGGCCCTCGTGCTCGGCATCGGAATGATCTTTTATCCAGAGTCGCCTCGCTTCCATCTCATGCGAAAGAACGAAGAAGCAGCTCTCCGCTCATTGGCTCGTCTTCGCCGCGTCCATCCTGATTCCGAGTCGCTGAGAGAGGAGTATCTCTCCATCAAGGCCGAGGTCTTGTTCGATGAAGCTCATTCTAAGGCACAGTACCCTGGTAAGAGCGGTGTTAGCCTTTACTTTGCTGAATACTACGGTCTATTGTCAAGCTGGCCCAGCTTCAAGCGTGTCTTTATCGGCAGCGCCATCATGTTCTTGCAGCAGTTCCAAGGATGCAACGCCCTCATCTACTATGCGCCGACTATCTTTGCGCAGCTGGGACTCTCCGGAAACACCACCTCTCTTCTCGCAACTGGCGTATACGGCATTGTAAATACTTTGAGCACCCTGCCCGCTCTCTTCCTCATCGATCGAGTCGGACGACGGCCATTGCTCATGTGCGGTGCCACGGGCACATTCATCTCGCTCATCATCGTCGGTGCCATCGTCGGAAAGTACGGTTCTGCTCTCGCCGACCATCCTTCGGCCGGATGGGTTGGCATCGCCTTCATCTACATCTACGACATCAACTTCTCATACTCGTTTGCGCCCATCGGATGGGTCTACCCGTCGGAAATCTTCAACCTGGGCAGCCGATCCAAGGCCATGGCCATCACCACCAGCGCGACCTGGATGTGCAACTTCATCATCGGATTGGTGACGCCGGATATGCTCGAGACCCTTAAATGGGGTACATACATCTTCTTTGCGGCCTTTTGCTTGATCGGTCTGGTGTTTACGTACTTTTGCGTGCCCGAGACCAAGGGACGAACCTTGGAGGACATGGATCGTGTGTTTGGTGACGATGCTGCTACACAGGAAAAGGAAAGGCTGTTCCAAATTGCGGCCTCTTTGGGCCTCACAACGACGATTCCCTCAGAAAAGGCTGAGGCGATGACAGCTGAGGCCAAGGAATACGTTTAGGGAAATGAATTGGGATTAGTTGTGTAATTAGGAAGCACAGGGGATTAGTGAGCAGATCTTAAGTGTATCTGTTTTAAAAATGAATAATGTTAACATTGCAACGATGCAGATAATCTATTTATTAAATTTTTACATTTTCCCCAATTGATACTTTAGCCGCAGAACTCTGCCGCAATAGCTGTCAAGGTATCTGCAACCTGTTTAATTGAGTCCACCTCCACATATTCCAGCTTTCCATGTAAGCCAACTCCCTTCGGTCCCCAAAGCAGCACGGGAATGCCCTGGTCAGCCAGCAACGCACAATCAGTCCAGTGGGGAGTTCCAACAACCACTGCTTCTTCGCCCAGGGTGTCAGTGACGTGTTTGCGAACAAGTTTGGTGAATGGATGGTCGAGAGAGGCTTTGAACGGTGAGCGTTGGAAGGTTGCTCGGATGTCGTATTTGAAGTTGGGAACTCGTTCAACCAGGCCATCGAGAATTCCTCGCAGCTGTTTCTCAACAGACTCTTGCGTTTCGCCGGGGACGATTCGCCGTTCGAGCTGAACTTGCGTAAAGGAGGGATATGATGAAATCTCCTCGCCGCCCTTGATGATGGAGGCATGTATACTTCCTGGTCCAACATCGGGATCGCCGACTTGCTGCGTAAGATGAGCTGCATGTTTATCCAGCTCGACAAGGAAATATCCTGCTTTGCAGATGGCGTCGATGCCAAGGTCGTATCTTGATCCGTGAGAGGCAACGCCATGGATGTCTACTTCAAACCAGATGAAGCCTTTGTGCGCGTACAAGATTTCCAAGCCAGTCGGCTCATTCACAAGAGCAGCATCGGCAGTCCAGCCGGCCTCCAACACCTGCTGCGTGCCGATGCTCTCAAACTCCTCGTCTGCTACTCCCGCGAAGATGACGTCTCCTTTCAAGCCTTGCTTCGTCGCATTGGCGAGGGCGACCATGGCGGCCGCAACGCCGCACTTCATATCGGCAGCCCCACGGCCGTAGAGCTTGCCGTCCCGGATATCGCCGCTGAGGGGATCGCCTTCATACTCCGTGACGGAGACGGTGTCAGTGTGACCGTTGAGCATCAGACTCTTGCCGCCGCCAGATCCGCGAACGACGCCCACCACAGAGGGCCGCCCCGGCGTCGGCTCGATCCAGTGGGTCTCAATGTCCCGATGCTCCAGCCAGGCAGTAATGTAGCGGGCGATGGCCGTCTCTCCAGGGCCAGGGATAGATCCCAGGGAGGGACTGGCCGAGTTGATCCTAACCAAAGTTTGCGTCAACTCTATGGGATCATTGCTTGCCACGTTATATGGGACAGCATAGTCCCTCACGCCTTCTGTGCACAGGATAACGACGACCGAGTCCTTGGTGAGGCCCAGTTTCTCTCTGTCAGAGGCCTCCAGCCTCCTCAAAGCGGCAACAGGGGCAGCACCACAGGGCCCAACGGGTATGTTTTGAGACGCCAGATATCCGCAGGCTTGATGGGCTTCAAAGTCCGAAATCGAGAGGCTGGCATCGACTCCGTGCTGGAGAACTGACCAGGAAATCGATGAAGGAGTCCCGCAATCCAGACCGGACATGATACTAGGCGCCTTTTCCGATATTGTCAAGGAGTCTCCGTGCTTGAGACTCTTCCAGAGACTAGCTGACGTATCTGGCTCGACTGTCAAGACTGTGGTTTGTTTCCCCTGTTGTTTATAGTGTGTGACAACAGCCTGGGCAAAGGAACCGACTCCCACCGGTACCACGACGAGGTCAGGGGTAGTAGCGCCTAGCTGGCCATCAATCTCGAGCATCATGGTGCGGTACCCATCAACAATCCACTAGCAGGTGTTAGAGCGGAGTGATTTATGGAAATGACTGGTATACTTGCCTGCGGAATCTGAACATAGTCCCCCGAAGCATAGTCTTGAATAACGATGGCGGTGCTGTCTTGCGCAGCTGCCTCCCGTGCATCAACAACAGCCTTGTCATAGAAGCTGTCCGAGACGATAACTCGAGCGCCCTCTGACTTGATCAGCTCGATGGTAGCCTTGTGCATGCATCTGGGCACGTGGATCTGAGCTGGAACACCCAGGATGGACGCCATGCGAGCCACGGCCCGCCCATGGTTTCCATCGGTGGCTGCGTATAAGGAGATGCTGGTGGTTGACAGAGCTTGCTTAACAGAGTCTAGGGAGGAGTCTAGAGGAAGGCTGAGTTTCTGGGCGATGGCTCGAAACGTGCCCCATGAAGCACCTAGGATTTTGAAGGAAGGGAGTCCAAGCCTGCGTGTCTCGTCCTTGAGGTGGATGGCACGGACGCCGAGTTCCTTGGCCAGGTCCTCGAGGGGAGTTAGCTTGGTTGTTTCATATTGCGGCAGCTGTTGGTGGAATCGATAGGCCAGGTCTGGGGAATCTGTCACCGGTGCCGTCCAAGATTTGGCAGCGGGATTGAAAAAGACGGGACGGCGTTCAACACGAGTCATGGTTGATATGGAGTGTAAGAGTGTTACGATTTGTGAAGGGAGAGGATAAGCGACAGAGAGTTAGGAATGAAGAGGAAGATGACGCGATGATGGCATGCAATTCGAAAAAAGGGTCATTAAAAAAGCAACGAAAGAGAAGCTGATTAGCGGATGGAGAGAAGAGACCGAGGGGATCCGCCTCCCTTTTAACTTATAGGCATATAGAGGTCCTCTCGTGCTTGACTCGCCGTTTTGTGTGGTTTGCCATCCCTGGAGCGATCTCTAGGCATGGCGCAGAAAGCCAATCTCCATTTGCATTTCCATCTCCGTACACGTACACACACACTAACACCGGGACTATTTTTTGCGCTGGCTCTGCTTCTATCCGAAGAAGCTTTTGGTGCGAAGTTGGCGCGAAGCCAATGAGCGGGCAGTTTCGATGCGAGCCACCACGCAAACCTGCAAGACTCGCCCAAGACGGTAAGTGCTGGAGAGGCTGTGAGCGGGCGGAAAAGCATCCGGTGCATTGGTCAATTTCCTGCTTCTCCTCTTTGAGTTTCTGCTCCTGTTGTTTGCTGATGATGCTGAGATTCTTTCCTCTTTGGGGCGGTCTATGCCTCATCCGCATGATGTACCGGGTACTTTGCATATGCGCTGATAATCTCGACGCTGCCCCTCTTTAGCGGCGGGAGAAGGCGCTTTTCTTGGGTGAGCCCACTGTAAGGCGCTGTAAGATGGACGCTATAACGCACTGCTACGGAGGCCGCTTGAGCACATCGATTTCGTGTTGATAATGCACGATGCTGCACTATAAGCGCCCTCTCAGCTTGCATCTGGATAATAGCTGACTAATTCCGTATCAAACAACCAGACAATACGTCGCTCGTATGGAATCCCTTGAAAACAGCTTGATTGGAAATTGAAATGACCTCCATCTCTTTGGTCTTGTCTTGTCTTTGGAAGGCGCTGTTGTTGTTAATTTCAAACATCATGTATGTACTTCTGACGTAGCAGAGCAGATGTAGAAGAAGGCGTACTTGGTGGCACATATATCTCTGCGGCGCAATGATATTATTCATCATGCTCAGTCATCATGTCGACATACGGATTAGTATTCAATAAATGCTAAAGCTGGAAAAAAAAGAGAAAAAAAAAAGGCGTTGTACGTAGCATTATCGCCATCTACACTTGATGTTATAAATCGGCCCCGAGCTGTTGATAGAAGGCGCCGATAGCACGTTGAAGCGTACAAATCGGTGGTACCTCAGGGCCGTATCGCAATAGTCAGGCACTACAGATGGGCATGGATGGGCCTATATCAGAGGGCGCACGTGCTGGACCCCCGCTTACTTACATACCAGAATGCACCCCGAGCGCTGCATCTGCCAAAAAGCGCCCTCCTGCTACGACCAAGCCTGAGCCATTGGGCATTCTTCACCCTCCAAGCGTGCGCCTTCTCCACGCGCCAACCGCAATTCTGTGCTCGGCCAGACGAGAGAGAAAAAAGGACCCCCAAACGGAGACCGACCCCAACAGCAGCTCCAGCGAAGGGCCCGCACCGAAGGGCCGAGACACCGCCTGGACGCCGTGCTGTTGGCGCACCAAAGGCGCTGTGAAGCTGGCTGTCGATCCTTGTCCCAGCGTGGCGATTGGGCGCTGGCAGTGGCACGAGAGCCTGTTCCAGATCCTGCAAGGGCAGCAGAAGTCGACGGACCCGGCTTCGCACTCGTGTAAGCGCAATTGACGGCTGTTACCGCATCGACTCGCCGCAGCAAGGCGCGTTTGCCGTCGTGAGACGTCGAGGAGGCGAGTCAAGGAGGGCGCTTACGGGGCACTGTGCGCTGATCTGGGCAGAAACTGCTTGCAAATTCCGAGGCGTGCGCTGTGTGGGCATAGAGATGGATCCAGGCGTCGAGGATGGCGTGCTGGTCTTTGCGGCCGACGAGATCGGAAGCCGGAGTAACGTCGGCAATCTTTCGCAGCCGATGTATGTGGACGACGCCTTTCACCAGCCTCACCTCCAGCCCCATCTCCAGCCTCAGCACCAGCCTCACGCTGCCGCCTTGCCGCTTCAGTCAGACTCGGAGCCGCTGCCGTTCCAGCATCAGCATCAGCTTCAGCTTCAGCAGCCGCATCCACCACAGGCCTCAGTCCAGCACCCGCGTCAGCTGCAGACGGCCGTGTCCATGGACCAGTTTGGGCCCTCCTTCTTCGCCGTCTCCGATCCCTACGCCGGCAGCCCCTACGCCAGCCCTGCCGGAAGAGGCCCCGGATTCCCCGAGTACCAGTATGAGCTCGGTCCCGCAATCGGCCCCGGCCCTGGGCTCCTCCTCGGCGATGGCTCCAGCTCTCCCTTTGACGGCACCGCACCGCTGCAGTTTGCTGTTGAAGATACTGTGAACAGCGTCAACGACGACTTCTGGGGATCAGGCCAGCAGGGAGCTGATACGCACCAGCTGATGCAGCAGACATCGCAGGGGGATGATATCGCCAAGAGCCTCCACATCAACGCCATCGACGAGTTCTTCATCAAGAACGGTGCCCATCGCCCTCCCGTCCCCTGCAACTACTGTCGACGACTGCGGCTCCAGTGCCTCATCCTCCAGACCACCTCTGCAAATCCAAACCCCATCAGCTCATGCTCCGCCTGCGTGGCCCTCTACCGTGACTGCAGTCTTGCTGAGCGGGGCAAAAGAGAAGCCTCCGCTTACGAGACTACACTCCCCGTCATTGGCCATCTGCATGGCGTTAACGAAGAGGGAGACGGTGCTACTGCCATCGAGGGGACGAGACAATGGCGAATCGAGCGAGCTGCTGGCCCGGTTGCCACTCGCTCTTCGTCTATTGTCTCGTACAAGAGAAACAGCACTCGGTCCGTCAAGAAGACTCGCGTGCTGAGGAACTGGTTCGCCACACATCAAGAGCACCCATACCCATCCGAAGACGAAAAATCTGTCCTTGCCGAGCAGAGCGGCCTGAGCAAGACTCAGGTTATTAATTGGTTCGCCAATGCTAGACGTCGGCATCGGCTGACGGCGCAGTCGCACCAGAACAACAGCACCAAAGTCTTCCTGCAAGGATCCCCCATGCCCCAGACGCTGCTGACTGGCATGTCTCCGATGGAGCGATGGAGACATTCACCCCCGAACGAGGAACCCGTTTCGGCTGCAGATATCGAAAAGGCCATCTCCAATAGCCAGCTTGATGGCGGAGATGCATACAATTATAACTCTGATGGAAACTATGGCACCGATGGCGCCCCTTCCTCTGCCAGCAGTGAGTCTGCCATTTTCAACCACAACAATGTTGTCAACGGCTATGAGGGGTCGTCCAATTCAGGCTCGTCCGCATTTTCCTTCTATCATTCCGATGATGCAGGCATATTCTCCTTATCCGCACAAAGCTCCATCCACGGCGGTGAAGGCGGCGATTTTATACCCCTATCAGCGACAGCGGTGCATACAGGTGCGGCAGCAGAGCGAAGCAAAGCGCTCATGTTTCAATGCACCTTTTGTCTCCAAGGCTTCAAGAAAAAGTACGACTGGGTCCGTCATGAGAGATCCATACATTTGCCCGGCCTCGATTCCTGGATATGCAAAGTGCCTGTCCCCAAAGACCAGTCATATCTTGTTTGGCGCGTCAATCATGGCGAGCCAGAATGCATCTTTTGTGGGCAAAAGTCGCCATCAGATGAACACATTCAATCTCACGAGTTTCAGTCGTGTGCAGAACGCCCCGTGTCCGAGCGAACCTTTACTCGCAAAGATCACTTGTGGCAACATCTGCACAAGTTCCACCGCTGCCGGAAATGGGAAGGGTGGAAGCCTGATCTCCATCTCTTGCAGCACCGGCAAGACAAGTTTGAGAGCGTGTGCGGTTTCTGCCAGCTCAAGACGCATAGCTGGGACGAAAGAGTCCAGCACTTGACATCCCACTTTCGGCGTGGTGTGACCATGTCAGAATGGAAGGCCAGCAGCGAGGCCAGCATGAGCAGCGGGGGTGGTGGGCATGGGATGAACAGCGGTCCCATTACACCCCTTAGTGATGAGAGCGATCCTTCATTGCCACTATTTGCGAATACGAAAATTTGACATTCACCTCAAATTGGTACAAATCATTTTGTCTAACCTTTCACATTTAGCTATATTTTACCTCGCATAGGTAATTAACATACTCACTCATATTGTGTCATATAGAACTTGGAAATATTGGGGAAAATCGGAGTCAGATCTTTATATACATATACCCACTCATTAGTGCATATTAATAAACATAGATGAAATCTTCGTTCTGCAAGTCCGTCACATCTTCAAACGCCTTGTCTCCAACATTCTCATCTCCCATGTTGATACCTTCCTCGTCATACTCACTGCCATCTTTCTTCCTGTCCATCATGCTCAGATCGCGAATCACTTCTGACTTGCCCAGCTCTCGCCGTCTCGCCGCTTGCCGTCTGTTGAGGATCTTAATCCAAAGCATTCCTATGACGATCAAAACTGCCAGCACCACAAAGAGTGCCAGGTTTGATCGCAGCCCGCGATCATAGCGTGGCTTCTCGCTCGGCTTGAACAGTTGCGGGCCTATAATGTTGCCGACGCTCGCTCCGATAAAGAGCATAGCGGTAGTTACTTTTCGCTTCGTGTCACCAGCGGTATTCTGCCCGGACCAAGAGTAGATGAGAGGGGAAATGCCGGGATATACGGAGATGATGTAGTATCCGACGAGGAGAACGGCTCGGTCGGAGGGAGCTCGGCCTGTGACGAGGAGGATGACGCAGCCTGCGATTGGGGGGAGGCAGAGGAAGAGGAGAACGGCAGATTTCATGTTTATTTTGTCGGAGACCCAGGCGCCGCCGAGAGTGGAAATCATCTGCACAGCACCGAAGGGGATGTTGAAGAGGATTGTAGTGAAGGAGTCGAAGCCAAAGGACTGGATGATGAGAGGGCCAAAAGTAGAAATGCCTCCGCTGGGGATGCTGTTGTATTTGTTGACGTCAGTAGAGTTATTGATATGAATGTACTTGCTTATGGAAACTTACGAAATGGTGAGCATGAGGCAGAACCAGAGCCACGTCTTTGGATCGAGCATGGCTTCGCGGACGTGGTCCCATTTCCAGACGCCGGAGCCAATGCCCATTTGGTTCATGCGGAGACGCTCGATGGCGATGACTTTTTCGTCTTCTTTGAGGAATTTGGCTTCCATTGGGGAGTCAGGCATGAAGAAGCTGTGTGAGTGTCAGTAAGCTTTGCTTGAGAAAGGAAAGGGCAAGGAGCGAATTGTTTTAACGTACTACATGACTACTGAAAAGGCAACGGTGATGCAGCCGCAAAAGAGGAAGATGATTTGGTATGGGTGGAGAGTTGATTTGATGTGGCCTAGGCCGTATGTGAGAAGACTTCCGAGCTGTAACTCGTTAGTTCGAACAGGTTCAGACTTTTGATAGTTTCTGATTTGAAACTTACCATGTTGACAACTCCAAGCATAGCATACCAAGATGCGTTACGGGTTGTCTGCTCTTTTCGCCGGTACCACATCTGCACGACAGCAATAAACGTCGGAGCTAATTTGAATAATCAGTTTGCATCCCATTGTAAATCAATCATCGTTCGCTTCAAAGGCTTACCAACAGAAGCTTCAAACGCTCCCAACAACAGTCTCGCCGCCATCAACCCCCCAAAATTCCTCGCCGCCGTCATCCCACACAGCACCGCCCCCCAGCAAAATACCATCGTCGCGCAAAACTTGCCCACTGGCAACTTCACCAGCGCGTACGCCACCAGTGGCTGGAAGACCAGCTGGGCGACGTACACCACGGAGCCCAGCCATGAAAACTGCTCGCCCTCGAGGTGCGTGTCATCGATGAGGCCAAAGACCGAGGCGTATGAGAGGGTGGTCTTGTCTAAGGACTGGAGGCAGTAGACGAAAAGGACAATGGGGAGGATGTGGAGGTCGATTTTGCGGAGGATGCGAGCATTTTCGCTGGGGGTGACGATGATGGCGGAGTGGTTGGCTTGTTTGAGGAACTGGGCGGCTTTGTCCCTGCCTGTGATGGGGAGATTAGAGGCTTTCGGGACGGGAGTGATTTCGCTGGCGATGTTCTTGGAGGAGTCTTGTGTGGGTGGAGTTTCGAGATGGATGATGTCGGGGTTATCTTTTTGAGTAGCCATCGTAATGGCCCTTTCTGATCAATACAATACAACGTTATAGAAGCCTATGAGTGTGGATGCAGCTTCGATCATCATACTTCACCGCTCCAGCTGAAGGTAACACTCTATGATATTTATAAATGCTCGCATCTCACGCTTTTCTTTCCCCGGACTACATGAAAAGGGAAAAGCATCAGCCGTTTGAAGCGCCACCCAACCCCATGGGGGAAGCAAAGGGCCCTGGGAGGGTAGAATGCGGGGAAGGATTCGTGTTACTTGATAGGTTGGCCGGACTTGGCGAATTTTGTCCGTCGGGTTTGATGAGGCTTTCTCCGGCTTGGGTTGCCCCTCAGCGGGCATTTTTATGTTTATCCGCTTGATACATTCTTCTCCCGTAATAAGAATTCTAAGAGGAGAGGAGATGTTAGTAGAGCGGGTGAATAACATGCTAAGAATTTGTGGATGAAGAGAGCTGTGAGAAGGCAGGAAATAAGGGCCCGAAATCGGTCTCTTATTTCCCACGCAGTATGGTCCACCTCAGAGGGACTGCCAGTAGTAATCTCCAGACACATACACGTGTAATACCAGCATATAAACAGCTTCAGCGCCCGTCGTCCTTGACTTTACAATTTTCTCATACTCCTCTTATTACACTTTGCGTTATCATAAATCCTCATATTCTGTATCATAACGATGCCTCAGCAAGAGCGCGTCCCGTCGACATGGGTTGAGAGCACAGCTGGCTCAGGCAAGCTGCTGCAGCTTGATTCTGCAGATTCTCAGCTCCCTTTCCAATTCACAATCGATGCTCTACGCCACAACGTGTTTCGTACGACATTCACGTCCAAGACACATCCTCTGCCTCCTCATCCAAGCGTGCCTCTGCCTGTAAAGCAAGTAGACGCCGCCGCTGTAAAAGCATCATCTGCCAGCACCAAGAAAGAGATCAAAATTGGGCCAATTACGGTCGCGATTGACTGGACCGAGTCCTCTCCTCTCTTATCTGTCTTTCTAGATGGCCATGAGAATGGGCCTCTCCACCAAGATTTGCCAAATCGCTCATACGTTGTCGACGGTGAAGGCGTTGCCCATTACTCGCGCTACAACAGAGATACTCTGTACGTTGGCCTGGGCGAGAAGGCAGCGCCAATGAACTTGGCAGGGAGAAAGTTTGAGCTTTCAGCAACAGACAGTTTTGGATACGACATCTATCGCACTGATCCTCTGTATAAAAACATTCCGCTGCTTATAAATGCGACGCCCAGTGGCTGCGTGGCCCTATTCTCAACTTCTCATGCGCGGGGTTCATATTCCATTGGAGCTGAGATGGACGGCATGTGGGGACGTTACAAGGTGTATCGACAAGATTATGGCGGATTGGAAGAGTATATTATTGTTGGCAAGACTCTGAAGGATATTGTTACGACATACGCCGATCTGGCTGGATATCCCCTGCTTGTGCCTAGATGGGCATTTGGCTATCTCTCGGGTGGCATGAAGTACTCCATGCTTGACGATCCGCCAGCGTCCGAGGCACTACTTGATCTAGCACGGAAGATGAAGGAGCACGATATTCCCTGCTCAGCATACCAAATGTCGTCTGGCTACACGGTGGCAGAAAAGCCTCCGAAAACACGCAACGTGTTTACCTGGAACCGTCATCGATTCTCAGATCCAGAAGGATGGATCAAGGAGTATCACAAACTCGGCATGAGGCTCATAGCCAACGTCAAGCCATATGTCATCGCCACTCACCCAGAATACGAAACACTCAAAGCGGCAAATGCATTGTTTATCGATCCTCATACCAAAAAGACGGCGGTAACGCGGCTTTGGAGTGCTGGCGGTGGCGAAAGCGCCGATGGCGGACACATTGATTTCACTTCTGCTGCTGGATTCAAGTGGTGGTATGAAGGCGTCAAGAAGCTGAGCCAAGAAGGCATTGACTGCATCTGGAACGACAACAACGAGTATACAGTCACTGATGATGGATGGATCTGCGCGCTGGATCAGCCCTCTCTAACGTTGAGAGAGGAAGTCAAAGATAGGCCTCAGATAGGTCTATGGGGTCGAAGTCTACACACGGAGCTTCATGGAAAAGCGTCTCATGATGCTCTTGTCGATGTTAATCCCGATGTACGGCCATTTGTCCTCACTCGGAGTGCTACGGCCGGTACTATGCGATATGCCTGCAGCTCATGGAGCGGAGATAACACCACCAGCTGGGCCAGCATGAAGGGCGCCAATGCCCTTGCTCTGAATGCAGGCATGTCTTTGCTGCAGTGTTATGGCCACGATATTGGAGGGTTTGAGGGCCCTCAGCCTTCTCCTGAATTGCTTCTTCGATGGGTCCAGCTGGGCACTTACTCACAGCGCTTCGCCATCAATTGTTTCAAGACCCTTAATGAGAACAATATTGGAGATGTCATCGAGCCGTGGATGTACCCTGAAATTACCCATCTGGTCCGGAAAGCAATTAAGCGAAGATATGCCATGATTCCATACATTTACTCTCTGATGCTGGAGAGCCATCAAACGGCTATTCCGCCACAAAGGTGGACCGGTTGGGGCTACGAGAAGGATCCAGAAGTATGGACGGGACCAATTACAGAGGGAGAGACGCAATACTGGCTTGGCGACTCGCTTCTAATCGGCGGCGTATATGAACCTGGCGCAACTCAAGCACGCGTCTACCTGCCAAAGGCCTCCGACGACGATGAAGGTTACGTTAATCTTAAAGCTCCCTATCAATATTTGGAAGCCGGACAATGGGCCACAATAGATGCCGAGTGGCACGGCGCTGGCATTCCAGTGCTTGCCAAGGTTGGAACAGCCATCCCAGTCGGTAAAGACGTGCAAGTTCTGTCTCCGGGAGAAAAGGAGAATGTAGCAGACCTTCCGCTGGACGACTATCGTGCAGTTGAGATCTTTCCACCTCGTGAAGGGTCTAGAAGTACGAAGAAGTATAAGACGGTTTGGTATGAAGATGATGGTGTATCTGCTGTGGCAAAGAACAAGGTCTCCAAGTATAGCATCGAATACTCCGTTGAAGGGTCGACAATTAAGGTTCATTTTTTTAGAGACGAGGCATCTGGATATGTGGCGCCTTGGAAAGCGCCTGTTATTGTGCTTCCTCCTGGAGATTCGCGAGTGGTTGTTTCAAGCGAAGGCTTACAGGTTCATGGATTGGGCGCGGACGACGAAGGAAAGAAGAGGTTCCAGCTTGGTTGATTTAGGAAAAGGCATATAGATTAAATTATGTTTAAATAGATACTAATAGTTCCATCCACATTTATGCCTCAACATCGGCTGACAGCCATCCGAAAATGTCTTCTCCTCCATTAAGCGCCTCAACAAGAATGTCGTCAAGCCAGGCAACACCAGTGGCCGACGAGGAAAACAAGGTGAGCCCAGGGAAATCCCACTCAAAGATAAATTGCTCGGGTATAAATGAATCCAATTCCACGCGATTTTGTATGCCGAAACCCGGCGTTCGTCGAGATGAATAGCTTTCGTCGTTTGCAGCGCCTAATGCCGCATCGTGAGCCTCATACGTGACGCTGCTAAATTTCTCAATGCCGCTTTGGAGGAGCTGCAGGTATTGCTTTCCGGTATTGCTTCGACTCCCGTTATGGCTACCGCCGCTGGCTTCGCTAAGTTCAGTGAGAAGGATATTACCGTGTGCCACCAGTTCTTTACTGGAGCGTCCTTTACTTTCAGGTAGAAGAATAGAAAGCTTGAGAAGAAGGAGGTAGCAAAAAGCGCATTTTGCCCAGACAAAGTCCATTGCGAATTGGAGATTGCGGATATATAATCTCGATTCCTCAATCATAATGTCTAGATGCTCTTCCAAGGCTTCTTTGGCCATGGCAACGACCGATCGTTGAGCAGGTGACATGAAGTCGACATTTTCGACTCCAGACGCTCGCACGGCGCGGCAAAGCGCCATGTTTTCGGCCCAGCACTTTTGAACTCGTAGATTAACGCTGAGCCACGGTGATTGCACTTTGTGCTTGTCAAAAATGTGCGCCCAATCGTCAAACCATATCGAAATGTCGATTTTAGCCTCCCGGACGACGTCCATCATGCTTTCATCGTCCAAGTCAGTGTGACTGGCTAATGAGTCGTAAACTCTTCCACGAATGGTATTTAGCTCGACTTGAGAGAATAAAAACAAGTCCAGCTCAGTCGCGGCAGGATTTTTTAGAATGATTCGGGACCTTCGAGAATCTCCCACGAATTTGAATGTTGGCAGGTCGGCAGCATCAACATGTAGAATGTGCCCCAAGACAAAGAGATGGAGCCACGTCCTTGCTCTCCGCATTAAAATGAGTGTATCTTCATCAACACTATTCAAATTCTTTCCATGTGCTGTCGGCACCACGGATCGATCAATCATTGCATCGTATGAGTCGGGAAAGTTCAGATCAAGCGCCATGCGAGTTGCAGCGGCGACTAGAAGAGATCGCTCTGAAGCATAACAACTGCGGACCAGCAATGCTTGAATGGTCTCTAGTGACGCCATAGCAGGCCTCGCCAAAGCACAGTTTAGCATCCTCTTAACATGGAAATCCAGCATATGCCATTGTTGAGTATCAGTCCCTATTACGACACGGCAGCCGACTGTGCAAATCGCACTGAAGAGTAGACTGCTCCTTTCGCGAATGCTATGAAACGAGTCATGTTGGGGATCGAAGATTGGGACATAATGATCGCATCCTTGGAAAAAGATGGCAAAATACCGGTTGGCCTGTTCAATGCTAAGCAGTCCTGCATCAACGCAGTCGGGCAACGTAACAGATCCGACTTCGAAATGTGATTTTCCGTGCTTATTGTCCAACATGGTATCTGTAGGAGACTGCGTGTTTGACAGACGCATGAATGTTGTTGGACCATTGGAGTGGACGTGATCTATTGCGGTTCTCGGTGTGGAACATGGTTGTGCCAGTTGGACAGCATCTTGGGATGTTGCCAGATGCTCCAAATTGCGTAGAGCTGGGCCAACACCCGATTGGCTGTTC